TAAAATATGATATGAGGTATATTATAGTAATTTTAGTAAATTATGATAGAATATGTAAGTTTATAATTATCATAAGAAAGCATTATAATAATTTTGAAACAAAAATATCATATGTTAAATTTCTATAAAGCATTCATAAGGGCATTTATGTAATTATGATATAAGAGGCATTATAATAATTTTGATCAATTATGGTGGAGTAGCATTTTTGCAAGTATAGTATGAGAGGTATTATAGTAATTTTGATTAATTATGATAGAAGGGGTATTTTTATAATTATGATCATAAAGTTTTATAACAATTTTAATCAATTATAGTAGAAAGGTTATTTTTATAATTATGATAAGATAATGTTACAATAATTTTGACTAATTATGGAAAAAAAATATATTTTTATAATTATAACATAATTATAGTAAAATTGGATATGTGTTAATATCATATTAAATAAACAAATAAGCATTATAGTCATTTCCATGGGAAATTTTTAATATATATTGTTTAACATTTAATAAGTAATATAGTAGGGATATTATAGTAATTTTCAAATAAAATTTCACATGTCAAGTATTTATGAAGCAATGCAAGGGTATTTTAATAATTTAATATGCAGTTAAATTTATACTATATTAAGATTTCATATGTAATTTAATAGGGGTGTTATAGTAATTTTCAAATATAATGTCACATATAAATTTTTTATAAAAGCAATGGTAAGGATATATTAATAATTTAATATATAATTAATTTTATATTATGCTAAATTTTAATATATAATTTTATAGAAGTATTATAGTAATTTTGAAAAAAAAAAATGCCACATATCAACTTTCTATGTATTACTCATAAAAGCATTTATATAATTATTATATGAGAGGTAGTATAGTAATTTTTTATTAATTATGTGAGGGGTATTTTTGTAATTTTAGTAAGAGAGGTAATGTAATAATTTTAGCTAATTATAATAGGAGAAATATTTATGTAATTATTGTAAGAGAGTATTATAGTAATTTTAACAATTATAAGTAGATAAGTATTTTAGTAATTATGATATAAAGGTATTATAGTAAATTTGGAAAAGTATCAACATCATATCAAATAAACAAAATGTTATTATAGTAATTAGCAAAGGAATTGTTTTAATATATATTATTGATTTTGAAATAAAATGTCACATCTTCAACTTCCTATTAAGCATTTGTAAGGATGTTTATATGATTATAGTAAAAATAATATAATAATAATTTTGATCAATTATGAGAGGAAGTTATTTCGTAATTATGGTAAGATTGCATTATAGTAATTTTGATAAATTATAAGAGAAGTAATATATTCGTAATTATGTTATGAGGATATTGTAGTAAATAATTATAAGAGAAAGTATTTTCATATTTATGATATAAAGGTATAATAGTCAATTTGAATACGTGTCAATTTCTTATCAAACAATATAAATATTTTTGATAATTTCTTATGAGTATTTTCGTAATTATGGTATGAGAATATTATAGTAAATAATTATAAGAGAATAAGTATTTATGTAATTATGGTATAAGGGTATAATAATCAATTTGATCATGTATTAATTTCTTATCAAATAATGAAAAATGTATTTTGGTAATTTGAGAGGAGATGTATTATAGTAATAAATAATTATAAGAGAAGAGATATTTTATAGTTATAGTATAAGGACATAATGGTCAAATTGGTTACGGGTCAATTTCTTATCAAAAGATGAAAAGGATATTTTGGTAAAATTTTAAAGGAGGTATTATAGTAAATAATTATAAGAGAAAAAATATTTTCACAACTATGATATGAGAGTATAATAGTCAATTTGGTCATATGTTAATTTTTTATCGTATAATGAAAAGAGTATTTTAATAATTTTAAAAGAGATTATTTAGTAAATAAATATAAAAAAATATTTTTGTAATTATAGTATGAAAGTATAATAATTTGTTTGAACACATATCAATTTTTATTATATAATGAAAAAAATATTTTAATAAATTTTTAAGAGATTATTTAATAAATAATTATAAGATAAGATATATTTTTATAGTTATCGTAGGAGACATGATAATTCATTTAACCAAGCATCACTCTTATGTTGGAGGGAGATGATCTAAGCATAATCAATCGGATATAAGCTGATGGAAACGACGTTTTTACCATAGGTAATATTATTGCAGATGCAAAATTGAAGCTGAGAACTGTGATGGATTCAAGATGTGCCCATGTAAGGAGAGAAGCGATGAAGCAGCACATACATTGGCAAGAATAGCTGCTGATAGTGGTGAAACTAAGCTTTTGGTGGATAATGCCTAGATTTGATTGTTTCAGGTTTTGAAAGCGAGTGTAATCTTCTTACAACTCAGTGAATACCATTTTTCTTTAAAAAAAAGAAAAATCAAGTGTCGGGGAAGGATAATTTGATAACTTTTTAGGGATTCTTTTATAATGTTTAGATATAAATATAGATGTGACTTCTGTTACACTGTAGTGGATTGCAAAGCAAATGGCATGTGGTCCGGCATTAATGTGGGCTTTATCTCCCCATCCTATTGGCAAAGTCTTACTCCACATATTCCTGACCCATGTGATAAAATCCTCCCCTACAAAATTTTGTACTAATAATCTGTCCACAATCTCCATCCTTTTTTGACTTTTGCTTTTTTTTTTTTTTAAGTTCTCACCTTCTTTTGTTGCAATTTCGTTGTGGATTGGAACTTAAAGTGTAGATGGGATGAGTTTGAATGTTTGATGAAGCAATCGAGTAAAAAACAGAAAACGAAATGACCATTTGCTGATCATTACGTGGAGTCTTTTGAGCAGGTGAGGTGGCAAAATGCATTTTGCAATAAGATATAAAGAGAGAGCTTCATTTGCAACATGCCAATGGGTTAAAATAAATATGATTTATCGGTTTGGCAAAAAAAACCTCTTTATTACTTTCCACAAACAATTTCATCTTAACCTAAAACATTTCACTTACATTTTAAGAACTTATATAATTTTAACAAATGCAAGAAAAAATAATTTTTTTTTCATTATCTAATATATTATCGGTGGTAGATTTAAATTTTATTAATAGAAATAGAAAATTATCACATATTTTATTAAAATAAATATTAATAAATTAATATAACAAATAAATTAATATGTGATAATATTTTAATCTCACATTTAAAGTTTGAAAAAATCACTAATAGCATACGCTAACTCGTTCTAAATAGATTTGTTATACACTAGTATTTGTTAAAATCATGATAATTTTAATGCGAATAAAACCCTAACTTGTTCGTTATTGTAATATTTTTTGGTACTAAAGAATAAAGAAAACCGAGGTTTGATGTAATTATGGTCCAGAGAAAGTGAATTTCGGCAAAATTAGGGAAAACTGGGCCGAGCTAAAAGACCCAACTGTTGCCCACCATGAAATCTCGTAAGCCTTCTGCTTTTTCTTTTCCAAACACTCACTCTCCCTCTCCCTCTCTCTTGCATAATAATAGTGAAAGGAAAAGTAATAGAGATATTGTTTATTGTTATCAGGAATAAAATATTGTGGTAATATTATTACTGCCATGAAAAGAAAGCAAAAGCTTTGAATTTAAAAAATAAAAAATAAAAAATAAAAAACCAAAACTACAAAACAAAAGCATTTGGTTCCTACGTTTGGTGATGGTTAGTGATTTCTTCCGTGTTACCAACCAGAAGAAGAAGCGGAAGCAGAAGCAAAACCAAAAGCAGAAGTCAAATCGGGATTTCAGCTTGGGCTTAACTGTCATTTCGCCCTTTCTTGCCTTTTTTATGTTATTTCCCTCATCAGGCGACGGCGTTGGTACTGGTTTTGGGAAATGGATCCTCTTCGCCGAAGCGAGCTCTGGCACCGGCGGTAGCGGTGGTGGCGGTGGCGGCGGTTTCTGGTCTTCTTACTCTGCGGTTTCGCCTTCTGCTATAGCCATCGTCGTCACTGCCATGGCTGGCATCGCCCTCGCTGCCACTGTCGTCTACTCTCGTAGGTAAAAAAAAAAAAGCTTCATTCTCATACAAAATCACTTCCATTATCATGCAGCGTAGGAAGCTTAGATTGATTATTAATTAGGTGGATTAGATAGATAGAAATCATTATGCTTACGGAACAGAAACCGTTAATGAGAGCCCTACGGCAAAATCACACATCTTCATTGTCGCCATAAAATAGTTCTTCTTCATCATCGCAATCTTCGTCGTGGATTCATTTGCAATCGTTTTCATTAGTTGTTGCTTCTTCCTTATCTTCATCCTCACCACTTCCAACTGATTGGTGCGTTTCCTTTTCCTGTTAAACTTAAACAACTCCTTTCCATTTTCATTTTTTTTTTAATTTCAAGTAAAAATTTCTACTTATCTTTGCCAGGATTTTATAGATTCGGACTTTCCTTTTTTGTAAAAAAATTTCCTTCTTTTATTGTTTCGGTTCTTAGATCTTCGATCTGAAAGTAGCCGAATCAGTTTCATCAGCGTCATGTCCTTATATTGTTAACAAGATTTTGATTCCATTCTCACGGTCTCTTCCTCTCTCCAGAGGTTCTGAATCTGATTATTCTTCGGTTCGTTTGTTTAAACTTTATTTCAAAGTATTTTTGAAAGCCTTAACTGTTTCGGTACTGATGTTAATCACTAGTCTACTGTTGTGATTCTACTGACTTTTGGGGAGGACTAGCAGTCACTTTCAGAATCAAATTCATGAAGCAAAATTTGAATAAAAGCCATCAAGTTTATGATTTAGAGTGTGATATTGCAGCCATGGTTCTCATTTTAATACTACTTCATGATAGCCGGTCATTAGGATTTGGGCTCTTTAGTTGCTGTGGTGTTGTGATTTTTTTTTTTTGTTCCCATCTTCATTGGCAACAGTTATGGACCCTCTTAGCGATTGCAATTTCCGTTGCAATAGTTTCTATATACAGAATTAGTTGAAATTTTCACTTACTTTACTCATCCGCTTATCTACTCAGCTTTTAGCGTTACTCAGTTGAGTGTTTCACAAGTTTTGTTTCCTCATGTGATGCATTTTTGGAAGTATGTGGACTCATATTGTGTATCTTTCATAAATCATGCATGACTGAGAAAAAAATTATGCCCATTAATTTCTTTTACATTTTTTTTCCTTTTACGATTGTTGTAAACTTATATCTTGATAGAAGATTTATTAATTTTGTTTCTTTCTCTCCAGGGGTAGCCTAAAATCACCTTGGTCCCGTAGGAGAAGAAAACATGCACTTCTACCTAAACAATGGAAGAATTTATTCACAGCAGATGGGAAACTCATAGATGGTGGCGTCAAGTTTCTTAAGAAAATTCGAAGTGGAGTATGTTATTAAACATGTTTCGGACTTATTTGCCTTCTCTTTCATCTCATTTTGTTACAGATTGCATCCGGTTTACTATGTTTTAGAGGACATATTGTTCCTGCTTGAGAATTCATTCTTTGCATCTTAAATGCAGGGTGTTGATCCAAGTATTAGAGCAGAGGTGTGGCCATTCCTCCTTGGAGTGTAAGATTCTTATAATTTTACTCTTATGTACCACCTTATAGTTTGATTCAAATAGACCTTTCTCCTTCTTTGAACTCTTTAATTCTTGATTCTATCACCTCTAGCATAGCTTATTCCTTTCAAATCACTGGCTAGTGGCCTGATTCCTTTTTCTAATGAATCATTACATCATCTTTTCATCACATCTTGGTGCTTTTCGGATTGTTTATCATTCTCAATGATTTTTCACTCTATAGAAAGCCTGGTTAAAAAATTGTAGCTTGTTAGTTGTTGGTCACTTTGGAAATAAGAAGAGGGAAAATTGAGTATTTAATTTATTAATTTGCATCGTATCCTCCAAGTATCCATTTTAAGCTCTTCTTTTTCTTGCAGCTTGAGGTTTTTTTTTTTTTTTTCATCGGTAATTATTTGTCATATTAATCACATCCTGAAAACAAATTTTTTGAGATGTTTTCTTATGCATTTTAGAAGTGGGTCATAAATGACCAGTTACACCACCTAACTGTGATGTCTGCATGCTTAAAAGATATGACTTCAACAGTTCGAGGGAAGAAAGAGATTCCATTAGAAGTCAGAAAAGGTATCATTTATTTTCTTTCTTGTGTTTCTTAAATACGTAGATTCAATAGCCAATGCTTTGTTACTTTACCATCTTCCTTTTCCCCTTCTCTTTCTATCTCTTTTTTGTTTGGTGTTTTATTTGTTTACTTATTTCTGATACAGAAAAGAGTATGAAGGCTTGCGGAAACAATGCTGCCAAATTCTTAAACGCACTGAGAAGAGTGGTAAGTTGGAGGAAACTGCTGGAAACAGCTGCGATGAAGACAGTGGGGATTTCAGTCAAGTTCTTGATTCTCCAGGCTTGGAGGATGTGGTTAGTGGTAGGAGGTACCACTCCAGTAAGGGAGGAAGCCCTGTGGTTGATGATTCTGATTGCCCTCTGTGTGATCAAAGTCATCAAACCCTTCTATCCTCTGACTCATTTCTGAAGGGAGATGTTGATAAGAGTCTAGTCACTGGTGAAACAGAATCATCTGATTCTGACTCCTCTGAAGAACATGAAAACACACCTCTCCTTACCTCAAAAATAACCGATGGAAATAGTATTTATGAAGATGATAGTGGTAGTTCCTCTCCCTCCCAGATAGAAGGCCGGTCCAAATCCCACACTGATGAAGATTTTGCCACATGGCAGAGAATCATCAACCTTGATGCTGTGAGGGCAAATGATGAATGGATCGCTTATTCTCCAACTCAGGCTGCAGTATCCACAATGAAAGCACGACGGTTAGCTGAAAGTGTTGGCTTGAAGGATTATGATCACTTAGAGCCATGCAGGATTTTTCATGCTGCTCGGCTTGTTACTATCCTTGAGGCCTATGCCCTTTATGATCCTGAGATAGGTTACTGCCAAGGAATGAGTGATCTGCTCTCTCCAGTTATCTCAGTGGTAGAGGATGATTCTGAGGCCTTCTGGTGCTTTGCAGGTTTCATGAAAAAAGCTCGTCATAATTTCCGACTTGATGAGGTTGGCATTAGAAGACAGTTAAACATTGTGTCCAAGATTATCAAGTGCAAGGATATTCCCCTATATAGACACCTGGAGAAGCTTCAAGCAGAAGATTGCTTCTTTGTGTACAGAATGGTTGTAGTTCTTTTCAGGAGGGAGTTAAACTTTGAGCAGACACTTTGCCTTTGGGAAGTGATGTGGGCAGACCAGGCAGCAATTCGAGCAGGTATTGCGAAGTCTGCTTGGGGCAGGGTGAGACTTAGAGCTCCCCCTACTGATGATCTTTTGCTTTATGCAATAGCAGCTTGTGTTTTGCAAAGAAGGAAGCTAATCATAGAGAAGTATAGCAGCATGGATGAGATAATGAGAGAATGCAATAGTATGGCCGGACATCTGGATGTCTGGAAGCTTCTGGATGATGCCCATGACTTGGTGGTCAACCTGCACGACAAGATTTAGGACTGCTCTCTTATTTTTTTTTGGTTAAATTTCTTTCACTGGTTTTTTTTTAATTTCCCTCAACTCCTTGCACCATTTAAGGATCCAAGTTACTAAACATTTCTGCTTGAAACAAGCGTTTGATAGCCAAATTCCCTGTACCAACTAAATTATGGGATTTAGTATGATGGATTGCCCTTGCCCGCACTTGGGCTTCATCTGAGTGATACTGGCAACGCTGAAAAATCAGCAATTTAAAATGTTTTACCTTGCTTGCAATTATTGAAATGACAGAATCATGCATGTTAGTTTTCTCCTTTTCTTTCCATTCTTTGTCATTGCTGTTTTAGTTTGTTGCAGCTCAGTTAAGCGGTCCCTATTGAAGTGTGGTTTTTTTAATAAAATAAATTTAATTTGGCAAACATTAGGTTATATAGCATCGCTATATGAGAATATATTTCAAACTAGTTTTTTTTTTTTTTTTTACCAGTGACTTGCACAGAATTTTTTATTATATTTTTCATAATTTAAAATTTTAAATTAACTTTCAGATTTAAATTAACATAAAATTTATATATTTTAAAAGATTTAGATAAATATAAATTTAGAAAATTTTAACAATGAAATAATTGATTGGATAGAATTATTTAAAATTATTTTATGTGTCAATAGTATAAATTATTCATTTAAGCGTTAATGTAAATAAATTTTATTAAAGTTTATATATATATTGTAATTAATATAATATTATATATAATTTAATTGATTATTTTTTTCTTTGTAGTAATTTTTTGGGATAAATTCAAAAATTATTTTATTTTTTATTAATTAAATTATATATTGGTAAAAGGACTTGGCCCGCGCAGTTTGGGTGAAAGTAAAATTCTTTGCATAAATTTAAGTCTCCGGCTGAAGTAACTTATTTTCAACTTGGTTTTTTTTTTTTTTTTTTTCCATCAGGTTTTTTGACCTTCACCTCACAGTACTGTATATTTGTTTTGTCTCTTCACTTTCCATAGATCTTTCTTTTTAGATCTTCTTTGATTCTGTTTTGTTGTTGTACGGAAAGACCTTGTTGTACGCAATGTTCGAAACGGCTCAGGAATCCGAACTTCAAAATGAATTCCAACCACAAGCACAACCGAAATCGGAATCGGAATGGGAATCGCAATCGAAAGTAGAATCTCAACCCGAACAACAAACTGAACCTAAAGCGCAGCTGGAACCAGAACCGGAGGAATTGAAACCGGAATCGGTTGTAACCGATGCGGATCCGAATCCGGAGGAGGACAAATGGAGCTCGATCCAACCGAATGAGACGGCCAAACCAGCAACCACCGACCAAATTGCTCGTCCGGAGCTGCGAAAAGATGAAGGGAACCGGACTTTCACGATGAGAGAATTGTTAAGGGAATTGAAAAGCGACGAAGATGATGCAGGCTCTCCTTACAGGTACCTTTTTTTTTTCGTTTTCCTTTTGGATTTTGAATTGATAAAAAAATGACGCTCTTTAATTCTATAATTGGATTTAGCTAGATTTTAATGTAGAAATCTATGGATCTTTGGAATTCTCTGTTTATTCATCTCCTTAATTCCATATGGAAGATCGTAAATTTAGGTTCTTTGTATCCTGAATAGAGAAGCCAGAGAATTTTACTTTTTGCAATTACGGTGTACTTTCCTATTAGACCACGAGTTCATTTTTATTAGTTGCATGGATAGGAAACTGTTCTCCGATCAGGGTCTTCCATCTTTAACTTGGAGTTTGTTAGAAATTAGTTATCTTTGAACTTTAGATGCAATCAGATCTGTTTTTCTTTATTTGAATCCTTCACTTAATTGTGGATTTCGAGTTTGGCATTAATTATAGTCTTATTCTATGTCTAACTTGATGAAGGAATCCGTAGTTTCGGGATCTTGCGCTTTTTATAGAATTAAGTCTATATTCTTTTTCATGTGCGACCATTCATGTAAACCTTTCTTCGTCTGGATGGAATAAGTATGGTATCATCTTGTTTCTGCTTGTATTTCTGGTTCTTCTTCTGCTTGTAAGAATATCATTTTCTTTTCCGTGATTTGTATGTTCCAGTCAAGAAAGCGTGCAACAACAATCCTACCAAAACAATGCTGCGATGGAGTTGATCAATAGTGTAACAGGTGCTGATGAGGAGGGCAGGTCTCGCCAGCGGATTCTTACATATGCTGCCAGGAGGTACTGTCATCTTGTTTTTATACACTTTTCACACTTGACTATTGTATTGAGCTCAATAAGTTACTGTTTCTGAGTCCTGATTTCTATAGTAGTGATTTTCAGTCAATTTTTGTAGGTATGCTACTGCTCTAGAGAGAAACCCAGAAGATTATGATGCTCTTTACAACTGGGCATTGGTTCTTCAGGTTTGAGATACTGGTTCATTTTGATTGTTATTTTAACATCGTTCAGAATTATATATCATGTCCTTCTATTCTTATTTTGCTAGGACAGCCTACATAACATTTGTCAATTTAAGCATATTGTAATCGTTGTAAAATGTTGCAGATTGCTCCTATCATGTCCACACCGTTATTTGTCTTGCAGGAAAGTGCAGATAATGTTAGTCCAGATTCTACTTCACCTTCTAAAGATGCCTTGCTAGAGGAGGCTTGTAAAAAGTATGATGAGGCTACTCGTCTTTGCCCGACACTTCATGATGTATGTATGCTTGTCCATGTCCCTCGTGATCCTGTTGTATTACTATGAATTTGTGATCTTTTAAGTTCTGTTTCAATTGCAAAAGGCATGATGACTGCTCAGAATGCAGAAGCCAGATAAGAAAATGACTACACAACAGAAATGATTGTAGAGCTGTATATATATATATATACACACACACACACACACACACACATATATATATATTATACACACACACACACATATATAATACATATATACATATATGCATACATATATATATATATTATACACACACAAACAGAAACGAGTCTTTATACTATATGTTTTTTTGTGATATTCATTCACATGACTTTGATGCAATGTCATTGCTTGGCAGGCTTTCTACAATTGGGCAATAGCAATATCTGATCGAGCAAAAATGCGTGGTCGCACCAAGGAGGCTGAAGAATTATGGGAGCAGGTTCTGACCATATAATTTGGTATTTCAGTCATGCTAGATATTTGTATGAATAACACCAGCCCTTTGTTGGAAAATCTAGGTGTCTTGTCATGGAAAAGCTTTTCCTTGTGTGGATAAGATCTTATTTCCTGTTTGTGTTTCATGTTAACCGCATGCTGTTATATTATCTGTTTTGATAAGGCCCAAGAACCATGAAGTTGGTGTTTGACTATGGAATTTTGGTATATAGTCATTCTAGAATTTAATACAGAAACATATTGTCCTTGTGGTAATGCTGTGTAGAAATCCTTGGCCTTTTCTGAGGAATGCCTTGTTGTAACAAATAAAAACCTTGACCTTGAGTTTGATAGAGCCTAATCTGTTTGTTATGTCTTTGCAGGCAACAAAAAACTATGAAGAAGCTGTCCAACTCAACTGGAATAGCCCCCAGGTATATTTAAAGTAATTGTTTGTTTTAGTCTTGTAATTCTGCTAACTAGAATGAGTCCATTTTTTTATTTCTATTCTACCTGTTAGTGATTTTAAAGATTTTTAAATCTCTTTCAGGCACTAAACAATTGGGGACTTGCTCTTCAGGTAAACTATGCTTTAGTAATGTGTGATGTTGATATTGTACTCAGCTTCATTTATTCTCATATCTTTCAGATTAAATTCTGAGTCTACTTCTATGGAGTGCGAGAATGTGTTGCTTACTTTCATGTCTTATCATGTATTCTTTAGGAACTCAGTGCAATTGTTCCAGCACGAGAGAAGCAAAAAATTGTGAGGACTGCAATTAGTAAGGTACAAAAATCATTTGGAGAAATTAGAGTGCTTGGATGACTATAGGAACAAGCAGCAAAGGAATTTGACATCTGATATGTCCTAAAAGAATAACTTCTAGTTGCATTTTCTATTCTTACAATATCCTTTACTTCTAATGCAGTTTCGTGCAGCAATACAGTTGCAATTTGATTTCCATCGAGCAATATACAACCTTGGAACTGTTTTGGTAAGTTTGTTGGTTATCACTAGTTCATATACTGGATGCCATGATCCTAAATCTCACCTATGATTCATTTATTTGTGATATTAAGGAGATTAGATAATGACTTTATTGCATAAATATTTCATTCAAGTTAAGTGAAGCATAAATTCAAAACTTGAAATATCCGTATTTTTAATTGCAGTATGGACTAGCTGAGGATACCTTGCGAACAGGTACAACAAATCCAAAAGAAGTTTCCCCGAATGAGCTGTATAGCCAGTCTGCTATCTATATTGCAGCTGCTCAGGCATTGAAACCAAATTATTCGGTAAGAAATCTCTTTGTTTTTTGGACTACTGAGGTTTACTGACTAGATACAGTCTCAATTTCAGGCAATATAGGTAGCATAATTATTGGCTAATGGAAATTTTGAGGCATACATTTGACTGTAATAAATTTTACAAGAAAGCTAATGTTGTACTTCTTCATTTTCTCCTTAATTTAAAGTCTCAGAGTTGTGCAATTTGACTTACCATCTTAGTTTTGTGGATACGTTCTTATTTGACGTTTTAAAACATGCAGGTTTACAGCAGTGCCTTGAGGCTTGTTCGTTCAATGGTCAGTATTTAATCTTTCAACAATATTTTTGAGGTTTATTGTTTTCTAAATGGGATAATATCCATTTGGTCTCTAAATTATTATATTTTTTCTATTGTGGTACCTAAACAAAAAAAATATAATTAAAAGAATTATATTTTGAAAGATTATAAAAAAAATTTAAAAATTCTAAAAAAATTTTCAAAAAAAATAAAAAAATTCAAAATTTTTTAATAATTTTTATAAAAATTCTAAAAAAAATTCAAAACTTTAAAACATATTTTTTAATTTCATTTCTTCCTCCCGCTCCACAAAAAAAAAAAATCCTTTCTATCTTGTAAACACCCCATTTCATTTGGGGTTTTGAAACCTTTTTAGATTATCAAGTCCCAAAGTTTCTTTATCCATTAATCAAGATATTGAGCTTGTGTAATTGAACTTGATTTTACGATTGGGTCTTAAACCCAAATAGGTGTTGATTTTTTTTTCATCTATCTATTTTATTAGTTTGTAGTGTGTTTTTTGAAAATAAAAAATAAAAAAATTGAAAAGCCAAATTGTGGAGAAGAACCCGAATGCAACAGGATTGAAATTCTGCCAAAAAAAAAGAAGAAGTTATTTTGCATTATAATTCTTATGGAGAATAAATTTTTCGGTTTGAATTGATGATAAAAATTTCAGTGAAACAAGAAACATTTTTGAACCGGAACTGTTTTGGAGATTTAGAGTTCTCTTTGGATTAGGATAAATCCCTATAAAATAACCTACCCAACACATAGAGGGAACAATCAAGATAATATAGATAGGCAGCAAGAAAAACAAAGCAAAAAAAAGAAAAAAAGGAAAGTGGTAAGGAGAATTTTGCGGTGAAAGTTCAATTTGAAGAGAATTTCGAGGGGAGATCACAATCAGAAAAAGAAAAGCAAGGAAAAGGGTTTTGGCATTATAGAGTTTCAAAATCTTGAGTAAAATTTGGCGGTTTTCTTTTGAGGTTTCATAGGCCAAAAGAGAGAAGAATCCATACAATTTAGGAAGAACCGAAAACATTCAATCAAAAATCCATAGCCTCGATTAGTCCCAATCAATCCACAATTTCCAAATCCATAACTTCAACAAAGTCGAAAGTCTCAGTAACCATAGAGGAAGCTGGAATTCATTAAAACCCAGATACACAACTCAATATAGACGAAACTCAATAGAAACAGTGGAATCAAGAGCTACCACAATACACATTAGAAGAAATCCAAAATCAAGTGCAATAAAACAAGAAACATTCATCAGCAAAAATCAAGAAAATTCATAGTTTGGGTTTCGGGTGCTGTTTGCCTTGGGATTCTTTCTGGGTTTTAGCCTTCTAAGAAGAAGAAGAATTTTAGGTAGTTTTGGGTTGCTGGGTGATGATTGAAGGTGTTTTGGGTAGTGGGTATTGTGAGATTGTTTTTCTAGATTTGTATTTTTGGTTAAGTTTTCTCATAAATCTAATTCAGTGAAGAAGAGAGTAGAAAGGAAGGAGGCCAAGGCTGACGATCAACAGTGGATCAGGGGGCGGCTTTTCTTGAATCTGGGTTTATCCGTAGAGAGAAGGCACAAAGGATTGAAGCTAGAGAGAGAAAGGAGAGAAGAATTTTTTAGAATTTTTAAAAAATTTTTTAGAAGTTTTTTAGATTTTTTTGAAATTTTCTTTTAATGCTAACATGACATTGTTAATGTGGCGTTGATTGGACTATATTGACACGTGTTAGTATTTTATTAGATGTTTATGCCATGTCAGCATTTAAGGTTAATGGTGTTAACGGTTGGGCAAATTAACACATGGAAATGTAGTTTAAGTACCTAATTAGAAAATTTTTTTGTTTAGGTACCACATTAAAAAAAATGCAATAGTGTATGGGTCAAATGGGACATTATCACTTTCTAAATTGATTGAATCTTCCGTAAGCAATGTTGAATCTATTAGCTATGATAATGATCTCTTGCTCCTTTTCCTGCTTAATTATCATTTTTCATGGATTTTTTTAGTATCATGAATTCCACATATCTTTCATATCAGTGCATCAGTGCTGTTTTTAACTGTCAATTATCACTGTACTATAACTGAGTCTTTGAGCTCCATCAGAAATTGTTTTGATGCAAAATGCCCTTTCAATATAGAGAACTACATGCCTAATCCAATGTCTTCTCGAATAGTATTCCCCTGGCTAGGATGTGAACCTATTCAATTATTGGGCAATCCTTACTCCCTAATAATGTTCATTTCTTTTTCTTCAAAACATAAGCAATGATATATAACTGTGAAAGCCTTAGTTAATATGGCCAATCAATACCTCCTCAGAGAAGTGATCTTATGCCCCAATCATAAGAAACATAATTTTATTAAAACATGTAATGGCAAGTAACTGCATTCTGTTTTTTCACCCTCTTCTTTTCTGATTGTGTCTTGTGTGTTAGGGAAGAATGTTTTTCTCATTTGTTCATTTCATGTTTAAACTGGGCACACACCTGGTGAAGACAACTATTGAATGGTTACAGTGCAAATGATTGTGATAGTCATCACTCTGTTTATACTCAATTGAATTAGCTGGGCAAATTATTTATATTATGTCTGACAAATAAAATTTTGACAGCTACCTTTACCCCATCTTAAAGATGGTTGTCTGACTGCACCACCAGTAGGAAACACAATTGCACCTCACAGTGATTGGAAAAGAACAGAGTTCTTTTTGAATCATGAAGCGCTTCAACAGGTAAAAAACTGATTGGTTTTTTCATTGTCCATGGTAAATAAATATCAAGTTTCGTTTTGCTTTTTGCCTGAGAATGGGGATTCATTTCTTCAAACAATTTTTGATATTTAATGTCTGACATTATGGTGTTGTAAGTTCCTTTCAAAAGTGGAATGAATGATAGGAGTATGAGCAAATATATGTTTGTTGTAAGTCACTTTTATTTTAAATTCCTGGATTTTATCTACAAAAGGCAAAACTAATGTAAATTGCTATACAAAGATTTAAGGCTGTGTGTGTATGTGTGAGACAGAGAGAGCTGGGATGGGGTTTACCTATAGTTTTTGCTGCTGGTCTATGTCAATTTATCCTTCTATGTATTGCTTTTCTCTTTAATTTCTTTGGTAGTCACTCTAATCTGAGCCTAGTTAAAGGCCACATCTATTCAGATTTTCATTTTCTTTCTCCATGTCCTTCTCTCTTCTATTTTCCAATTGAGCAGGTCATCAGAATTGAGCAGAAACAAGTTTCCCGAAGCCTCTCTGGCAGAACTGCAGATGTAGCAAATATTGATAGAAGGGCTATCAGAGTTGATATTCCAGATATCATTTCTGTATCAGCATGCGCTGATCTGACTTTACCACCAGGTGCAGGCCTCTGCATTGATACTACCCACGGTCCAGTTTTCTTGGTAAGTATCATGCTTTGCATTTTTGTTCTAAAAGTTTCCTCTTAAATCTTAATGAAGGAATGGTGACTTTCATACTGATGGCAGACTTGACAATTATTAGCTAGATATGCCCATGTTTGTCATTTGGATGCTATTTTATCAATATATGTATGGCAATTCAGCTTTACTGAGTATTGTATGCTCTTCCCTTCAGGTTGCTGACTCATGGGAATCCCTAGATGGGTGGCTTGATGCTATCCGCTTAGTTTACACAATTTATGCACGAGGTAAGACTGATGTTCTAGCGGGTATCATCACGGCCTAATTATTTCTTATGCATTGAGCTTGCATTTTTTGTTGTGTTTATTTGCATGCCTTCAAATTTGGTCGGATCTAATTTGACTCTGTATATCGTCAAAATTTTTGGAATACTAATTATTCTTTCAAATTAGTCATTTGGTATCTCAGCTGATATCATGTATTTTTTCTTGCGAATCATCTCATTGGAAAATGCTAAATGTAAAGTTTGTTGATTGAAGTTGAACCACTCTTCACATCCCCATTTGATGGCCAGTCCTAAATTCATGGTTTAGAATGTTAGATAAAAGCGTGTAATGTGACAAGTGAAAGTGGATGGATGGCGATTTCTTAGTTTCCTTTGTCTCTCCTATAGAAACGAATTGGTGTTCTAATTAGTGGAGGCCAGTGATAGGACTCTCAATAGGGCGATTCCCGTCTGACTTACCTGAGGTTGACGAGCACTAATAAGTAATGAGTGGGCAAATATCGTCGTTTGTCTTGGTTAAAAAAATTATATTTCCATTGGATGTTGCATATCTTTGCGAATGTTTTCGGAAAGGTGGTTTTAGACTATTAGTTATCTCTCAAGTTGGACCTGTGCCTATTTTCTCAACTGATTTCAAACATTATTGATCATTCACATTATAAAAGATTTTTTGTTTTTTTTGTTTTTTTTAATAAAAAATTTTCTATTTCTTTAAAAAACTCTGCTTTCTATCCTTTAATAAAAGAGCCAAAGCAATGGAAACTTGAAGGCAACATCTTGAGTGTGCTCGTTACTATTCTATCTTCACTAAGGTTGGTTTATTTTTCTAAAAATACTAGTAAATACACCTAGGCATCTACAACTCTGTCACAATTGCTGCGAGCATCTTCTCCTCGGACATTCCTTCAAACCTTTTTTATTCTTCTTCCCTGAACATTTTTCTAAGAAGGCAGGAATTTCATGCAAATGGGAGGATTAATTTTAGCCAATGCAAGAATTGAAGCAGGGAGAATCCATAGCCCTTCTCCGCATATTAGTCCAGAAGCAACGGCTGGAACCATCAAGTCAGCCTTATTTGTATTGAGCTTTTGCCAAACAAACACGATCAAAGTCCCCAAGCACATGTCAATTGCAAAATAGGCCCCAACTAGAAATGGCACTGCTATGGCCATTGGAAGTGGCATCCATTTCCCTATCTTGTGCGGTGAGAAATCTCTCACCAAATTCACTGCCACTGCAAAAGCAAAGAAACCATAACAGAGTTGCAAGCAGTGCTGAGGCAGGGCCGAAAAGCCTTGTGCACCCAGAATTGCCATGTTTCTGTATATCAAGGCATAAGGAGCTTTGAATTCTCCGTACGGATTTCCAACATCAAATGCCTTGTAGAAAAGGAAGAAGCTGAGAGGCGCTGTAACGCAGCCAATAGCTGTCCCAATTGCCTGGCTCAAGAACATTGCTCTCGGAGAGGTGAGAGTATAATGCGCTGTCTTGAAATCTTGCATTAGAATGCAAGCAACAGAAACAACAGATTTGATGAGACCACATCCAGCTAGCCCTGCGACCACACCGTTTTGCTTGCCCGTCAATGCCGCTAACACAAAAAGGGCTACTTTCCCATAGTTATAGGCCATGTTCATATCAGTGAGACCAGCCCCATATGCATTGCAGAATGCCAGAGATGGAGCAAGAATGTAAGCTACAACCACATAGTACCACTTGAGCTGAGGGAACATGATGGGGACAACAATAATAGACAGGATAGATAATACTACATATCCGACAATGCCTATCCACATGGGGATGGTTTCTCTGAGGAAAACTTCGTTTTGTTTTAGATCCTTAGCTGTCTTCTTCTGGTTATTCTCATCAGCTGCAAGGATAGTATATGTTGGTTAGTCAATGTCAAAGTTTCATTAGATGACATAGAGCTTTATTAAACTCTTTAACTTTTCCGGCCTGAAAGCTGAAGATGAGAATGCTGCTCAGTTACCTGTATTTTGGTTTTTGTTCTTCAATCTGCCATATATATTAATAAGCGTGAAGCACAAAATCTTGAGGAAATTGTAGAGACCATCACCAAGTATGAGAGCAACAGATACAAAAACCTGACATCCAAGAGATTATAGGTTATAGACATGGTTCTGTAAACATTTTCATATAATTTTGGAATTATTAAGGAAGCGGATCCAGGACTACTCTGTTTGGGAAGACAGAAAGAAAATGAAAGACCTTGTAGCCATATAAACTCTTCATGCTGCTTTCTTGTAAATCTTCAGAAAACCATTCTCCTTTAAGCCTATTAATGAGTGGCCACATTAGTCCATATGAAAGCACGGCTCCAAAAAGCAAAGACAAGTTAACGAGGTGAGAACAGATCATTCCTGCCCCGACGTAGGTCAGGCTAAAATCAAAGAAGAATCTGCAAAAAAAAAAAAAAAAGAGAAAAGAAAAGAAAACCACTTATTCAACAAGATACCAAGAAATGATTAGTCACATTATAAACAACAAGCAATAGAAACAAGGAACGATTTCAGGAAAAAAGATGTACGTCTGCTTCCAGGCTTTCAGTCCGAAAGTAGGAAACTCTTTGAAGCCACATCCTTCTTTCCCAGAGAAAAACCATTGGAAAAACCCCCACATGAAACTGGCTGAAAAATACTTCAGGAATCCGTTCACCTGTTTCCTGCAATAATGATGTTCATATCATATATCATAACTTCTTCTTCTGGTTTGATTCTTGTACGCTTTCTGAATAGGTATATAATGCTTACTTGGCCGACTTATCTCCTTGGCTATGGAAACCATTGATGAGAACTGCAGTTGCCAAGCCACTTGGATAAGTCAACTTGAGGTCCACTATCAAGACCTGTAGAGAAGATGAACTCCATGAAATTTTTTTGAACTTTTTCCAAAAATAAAAGATAATGATCCTGTCTTTAACAATACTATAGTGATTCTTTCCCTCTTTTTAGCAAGCAGTGAGCTTCTACCCTACACGGTTCCAAACCCCACTTTTGCAAGCGCCACAGAGAAAACATGTTTTGTTATTTTTCTTTAGCAGGGGAAAATATTAACAAAAACATCAGACACACCCAAAATGAAAATATATAATTTTCTTTCCCCCTTCATGACAAAATTTGGTGCAAGTGATCTTCCACTGTTTGTAACAGTTACAGGGTGAGGGTGATGGAGAAAAAAGTTAGAGCTTTTGATCATTTACAAAGAAAAGGTTACCTTTCTGAGAGGAATTAAGACAAAAAGACCCACAAAGCAAACTACAAAAAGGAAGCCAGTCATCCAACCAAATCCTGGTTCTTTTACAGCGTATGCAGAGTTCCCTTCAGTGTCTACTCCGGACAATTCATACGTTTTCCTGTTTAATCCCAAAAGATAAGATGCAAATCCACCTGCAGTCCATATCATAAATAATATGTAATGTTAGGGGAGAACTGAAACGAACCTGAAAATTAAATAAATAAACCTTTAACGTTGCTTATGCCGGAAACCTCTAACCTCCAACAGCTATGCTGTAACATGCAACTGCACATGTTTGTATCATGGTGTTCTCTTGTCTTGTAAAAGGTTTGGACATAAATCCAGCCTTCTGAACAACTTTTGTCCATGTCCGGATAACGATGAAGGCAAGAAGAGCAGCAGAGACATTAAGATTGGGAACCAAACCAGTTGTGAGGTTGAGCTTCATGGCTATCACACTGTAAATGGTCCCAATCAGAATGCTTACAATGACTCCCCTGATCGTGATTTGCTTTGTCCATGGTTGTATTGTCCTTGAACCCTCAGTTTCTTCGTGTAGTTCTTCCAAGTTCTCTCTCTGATTCTCTTTCTTATCATTCACTTCTTCCATGCTCATTGTTGCTCCGCGAAATTCTGCAAAGCTCGCTTTGTTAGCCAAATAACTTCTACTCAATGAAGACTTAGCGTCAACAGAATAAAAAAATGGAAGTGATGACTGACCACCTTCGACAAAGGGTGTGAAATGTTAGACAAGAAAACTTGGTTATCTATGTGGGAATACAAATCCAATGCATGATATATATCTCACCTTGGTCTTTCTTGTGCTTCTCCTTTTCTTCTTTTATTTCTTCTAGCTTTGACAGACGGTTTAGAGACTTATTACACAGTGTAATACAAGTTGTCGAATGGTTCTTAGTCTGCTTCTTTTAAAACTACTTAAAATACTTTTCAATGAACCAGACACCAAGACACCTGTGCGGATCTTTGTTGCCTTCTTCAGATAATAGCAAGCAGCCAAGCAAAGATCGTCAAATTGTAGGATGATAAAATGTTGTTTCCCTCAATCTTCTCGCAGCATATACCTAGCATTCATATATAAATCATTGCAACATGGAAGAATCCCACCTAACAGTGAAAATATATTGTTTAAAATCTACTTATTTTCATTCAATTGTCAAAGTGACAAAATATAAATGATTTCTCAAACAATAGGAAGAAAAGAACATAGAATAAAATGGTTGGTATGAACTATGAAGGTGTAAGTGTCACGGATCTAAAGAGGAGTCCTGAATCTCACATCGAACATAATATGAGGGTCACTGGGGTATAAAAGGGTTCACACTACCTCTGCCTTGTGAGGCGTTTTTTGTAGGACAAAACCGTGAGGCCAAAGGGGGCCAGAGCGGACAATACCTCACAAGGGTGTGAACCATGACAGGAAGGCTGATCGGGGACGCCGGAAGGGTGAATGCCCGAGTCCCGGAATCATGCGGGTTCGGAGCTTGAGTCTCGACCCGTGACAAGTGGTATCAGAGTCAGCCCTAAACCGTTCGATCTACGTCAAGCGCCTCGAGAGAGGTAGGTAAGGTGGCCAGTCTCCGTGACGAGGGCGTCACGAGGTTGGGTGGGGGAGAATGTCACGGACCTAAGGAAGAGTCCTGAATCTCACATCGAACATAATAGGATGGTCACTAGGGTATAAAAGGATTCACACCACCTCACACCACCTCTGTTTTGTGAGGCGCTTCTTGTAGGATAAAATCGTGAGACCAGGGGGTCAGAACGGACAATACCTCACAAAAATGTGAACCGTGATAGGAAAGCTGATCGGTGACGCCGAAAGGGTGAATATCCAGATCCCGAAACCGTACGAGTTCGAAACTTGAGTCTCGACCCGTGACATAAGCACTAGATTATAATATTTATAAAGCTCATAACTTTTTGACATTTTAGTTAATGAGCATTGGCCTGATTCGATGACCTTATCATTGACCTCTCCTCTTTATTTCTAGGCCATTAAGTTGGTTATGATAGTGCTCTCAATAGGGGAGATTCTTTTTCTTCACGAGTGTGGTGTAAACTCGATTTCTGGAAGATGGTTATGGCTATGTGGGTCAGTCATCCATTGGAACAGAAAATGATAGAAATTATGTTCATGTCGATGCCATAAAAGACAATGGAGTTCCCTCTTTCTGACTTGTAATATCACCCCTCATTGAATTTTGTTAGTGTAACAAGCCATATTGTCATAATATGTAATTTGGGTAGGCTTTCTTCTTCTTGGTGCACGTAATGTACTCGTATTTCTTTTGCCTTGCAATGCTACTTGTCTTAATGATGTTGACTATTTTTTACTGCGCTGTTTACTTCTACTACTTCTGAACACCCTAATATTAGCTATTATGTCTTTAATACTTTTCTTATTTATAAGTTCCTTTTTTTTTTCTTAGATGTCCTCTCAAAATCATTTATGATAATGTGTACAGATTGATAAATCTCTCAGCAAATAATCACAATCAACCATCTATGTATAAAAGTACCCATTGACAGTATGTATTTTGTGTGCATAAATTTATAGTAATGTCTTGTCGAATCATATGAAAGCTTTTTCAAATGAAAGGAAAATTCTAGTTGATAAAATCATTAAGGAACTAAGCTTCTTTTTGTTCAAAATTCTTCATTTCTACAGTTTGTAGAAAGGGACATTTTCACCCTCAAATTTTACTCTCCTCCCTCCCTCTCTCTTCTTTTATATGAATATCCCCTTTGATGTCACAACTGAAGTAGTTAAATCATTAAGTCAACAGTCTATTTGATATTACAGTTTGCTAGCTAGCTCATTTCATCTGTTAGCTTAAAGGTTGGCTTGAGAAAAGTGTTTAGGCCTTATGGATTCTCTGCTTATATTTTGAGCAAATGAACATATATACCTCACTGTCACAGGATTCACAGTAAGTATTTATGTGTTTATTTGCCAAAGAGAAGAGATAGGAAATTCCATCAGAAAGGATGGGTTCTGAAGGTAGGAAAAAGCTGACAAATTCATATATTAACCGGCCGAGTTAGATAACAAAAAACAAACACACAAGACATGAACTAATAAATCCAACTAGAGAACTGGACAAACCATTTGAACCCCATATTTGATCACATATAATTCTACCTTCTAAATATTATAGTAACACTGAGGTTAGGATTAATTTAAGTATATTGAAAAGTGTTTTACCTTCTTATTGCCTTGTAGTCAATTATCATTCATGAAAGACCAATGATACAGTTTACTATTATTATATTATATATACCTCAGGGAGGTTTTAACTCTTTGAACTACACCACCTTTTTGGACTTTTTGGTTATCCTCTTTCCCACTTTCAATCATTAATCACTCAAAATGTTAAGTGAACACAAAAGCTTCTCGCCACCTATGCCGACAAAAAACAGTCTTGTCATCAACTCAAGAGTAATAAGAAAAGGTTCCCTTAATTTCTTGGTAACCATATATGCTCTGTTGAAATTCCAGAGATGGGGAAAAAAAAAGAGAAAAACAACAAGTTAGGGATGTAAATGCTGTCATGGAATGGAAGTAGGGTCTTTATTTGAAAAGTAATGGCCTCGAGCTCACCACATGCATCTTCCAAATTGTGGTCTCAGAACGTGCACTGCAGGAAAATACGAATTATTAACACCCATAATTGATTTTGAATGCCTTAAAAGTTAAAATCCTGTCAGTTCAAGAAAGATTCTGGTGGAAAGAAAACAATAAAATGAAGCAAAAATTTCCCAATACATATCCGAATTTCAGGCTCCTCATCTTTAAAGGTTTTGGCTAATGATATCAGTTGTTCTGCACTTCCTTATCAATACTTTGGAAAAATTATTCAGTGGTCATATAATATATATCCGAAGATAATGATCAATGTCTAAACGTCCTATCAAAATGCTTGAATTGGGCATGCAATTATCAGCAGAATAGTCAAGAATGTGAATTCATTGTCGTTTCTCATCAATTATCTGCAAAAGTGTCACTAATATTTAAGAATGTATGGTTTTCTCAATCTTGTATATTTCTGAGCCTCTTTTTTTTTTTTTTTTTTTTTTTTTGCTAAGGGAAAAAAGGAAAGCTCAAACAATATAAAACCTCTGACAGTCACTCTCCATACATGGACTGAAAGAAGCGCACTAATAAGATTTGGAGCAAATCGCAAGATTTTATAGTCCACATCCCATCTCACAAGTTGATTTTGTCAAAGCATCAGCACAAAAATTACTTCTCTTTATCACACGTTGAAATATACAATATCATTAGTTTACTCACATGCAAGCTCCTGAATCTCTAATAATTCATCGAAGGGGATGGACATTGATATTGGCTTCTTGAACTAGGTCAATAACTGCCTTAACACCTAACTAACATATCTCTTTTAAAGCCTTTCTGCCGAGCCACATATAAATCAAACCTTACTGTATGCATTTCAGCTACAAACAATATTTGAACATAAGCCCATGACAGCTTTAAATCGCACAAGCCAACTTCTTATTTTATATCTAATAATCCTCCTGCCGTCCCAAGTATTTGGATTGCCTCAAGAAGCATCTTTAGTATTTATTTAGCCATACATGCGAACTCAATCTTCCTGGTCAAAGCCTCAAAGGTGCAAAATTTAAATTTAAAATTCATTTAATAGCTCGGTTGGAGTTGTTTCTCAATTCAACGTAAAAAGCAATACTTTATTTATTATCAAAACGACACTCCGACCAAAAACTTTTTAACATGCTATCAAACTTTTAATCAATGATACCATACATTTCCTTCATACATTAATGATGTGTAAAATACATTTAACAATTATCAATAAATTATTAGTATTATATATATAAAGTCATCTTGACATTTATGATTGTTTATGCAGTTTTCGGCTGACAAATTATGAAAGACAATTTGGAAGGCAACTTTTTTCTTTTATCTGTCCCACAAATTTGTCATTATCATGGTTTTTTCTTCACAATGACTGAACTTTGAATCAAGCGAATAAAATCATCATCTCCCAACATAAATTAATAAATAAATAAAAAGTACTATTAATTTGGAGAATATGGTGACTTAAAGCACTTTGAATGCTGCAAATAGACAACTTTAAGATGTAAAATTTTCTTTTAACTTGTACTACATAGAAAATGCTAAAACAACTTGATATGATTGAACTAAAATGAAAGCGATATGTGCAAATATGTTGAACAATTCTCTTCTTATCCCGTTCTAGATGACAAAGTTAAACCCCATTCCCAATATGTTGATGCACGATTTCTCTAATCTTATTTCTCAAAAATTCATCATTTTTAATTTATACTCAAATGTTTAACAGTTGTTTGTATCAATACTCAAGCAGATGAGTGACTGCAGGGCTAACCATGAGTAATTGCCTTTGTCAGTTCGATTTTAAAAAATTTAAAATCTATTTAATTGATATTTTTAAAAAATTATTTGAATTTGTCAATAAATTTTAATAATTGGAAATAACTAAATCGACATAAGCTCGATTTGATGAGTTTGATAAAAAATTGATTTTTTCATCATTCTTTCGCCATCAATTTTGAATAATGATTTTGTAATAATTTTTACTTCACAAATTCACGTTATAATTTTGTCGCTAATATTATATTTGTTATTTTTAAAACTACAAATAAAAAATTATATATATTATATACTATACATTTAAAAATCTATCAATTATTAATTTTAAAAACAAAAACTTAATCAAAATAAAAAGGAGTAAATTTCAAGGATAGTCACTGAACTATCACTACATTCTCAAATTTGTCATTGAACTTTAACTTATCCCAATAAATTTTCTAAAGTTTGTTAAGTGTACTTTCTATATAATCCCCCAATTATTATACAGAACTAAAAGAGGGATCATTCGTATTTTTTACAAATTTTAATGCTCTAACATTGATTTTTTTTTTCATTAAAATTGGATGAGTATTTGTTTAATATTATTTATTTTTTCTAAACATATAAGGAAACAAGAAAATGATAATGTTATTACACTAGAAATCCATCACGGGGGTGAATTATTTTTCATACAAAAAGGGTTGGTTTACTATGGTGGGGACCTGAAATTTGTGGACAATTGTAAGATTGATGAATTGTGTCTAGTTTAGACTTTGATGATGTAGTGGAGGAGTTAGGATACTCTAATTTAAAGACTTATTTTTGGAGGATTCCATGAAAAAAGTTAGAGTGAGGGATTGAAAGAAATAAAGTTTGATAATGATGCGCTTGAAATTGGTGC